TGAAGCATGCTTAGTATCATGAAGAAAAATATAATAGAGACTTGAGTATAAAAATGGAGAAAGGGCGTTACGTGCAAGTAATTATTTGTGAACTTCTCACTTGAAATTGTTAACCGTTCACGTGAAAATGCTTAATTATGCTTAAAAGCATGATTGGTGAGCATTGTTTTGATTCTTGTATAATAGACACTGTTAATCAGTTTAATCTGCACCTAATCCTAATGTCACAAACTAGCCTTAAATGTATGCAATGCTTTATGTGACTTTTCATCTGTCCTTTTCTTCATGTGATGTGTTTGTTTAGTCAGTGGACAGAGGAGGACGAGATCGCTGACTACGAGAGGAACTGTGAATGGATGGATGAGTGTTTGGACGGCATGTTTGAGAAATGGTTTGACAAGATCAGCCAGGCCTCGGTGGAGGACAAGAGAAAGGTACGTATAGCAAATAAAGTTTCTGCAATACCACAAAAGCAATAAACAAATTCAATACCACAAAAGACCAAATAATTTAGACAATTTTATAAAATGTTGGATAAATAAGAACAAAAGCCACCTTCTAGGTGGAGGTATAGGATTGATATTTATTCATGTCATGCTTTTTGACCATGTTACTTTTGAACCTTCTTACTTTGTTTAATCCTCAAACACAAGCAAATGTCAGCACCACGTTAATGCCTAATAACCATGAGATCCTAAGCTCACTTTGTTCAGGCAGAGTAAATATTTGAATTGACTTTAGTTCCAGAATGTGAAATTGATTGTTAACTGTGTGCTGGGTTTTTCTTTTCTGAGAAAGCATAGCCATATTTTACAAAGTTGTGTGGGTTGAATCCAGATGTCGCATTTTAGTAATCAAATTAATAGAAGACAACTTACTTATTTCTCAACCCTAGTGTGTTGTTGGGGATGTTTTCATTCACTCTGGGGTGATTTTGAGTTTTCATTTGGCCACAACATTCTTTGTTCTGCAGAAAATGGAATGTTTTTTGGTGACAAATCATTTTGGCAATTTGGCAATCAATTTTGGCACATATTTTAGGAAAATGCATTGAACATTTCAAAATTCAGTAATACACTCTGGGCAAATTTACTATACTTTCATTATGTTTGTGGCTGTTTTTGCCCCATTGACCATCATTATGTTTTTTGATCGCAAAGCCATCACATCATGTAATCACAATCATTGTTGCTGCATTTCACTGATGAGAACAGTTTACATTTTTTTTAATTTTTAATGTTGATCATCAGTTGCAGTGCAAAATAGCAGAGTTTCTGCCTTCTATGTGGAGTATTGTGTGTGTGAGTGTGAGAGAGACATTTCGTCACTTTACAATTATAAGGTTCTATCTGACATTTTTGTCAAAATTGAGTTATTGATATATTCTTATTAAATGACAACTTATTTACATTATGGGATGTTTTTTTTAAGTTGTTTAAATTTTAAGGCTTTTTATTTAAGAATAAATATTACACATTGTTTGTTATGGAATGCAAAAACTTTGAAGCTCAAAATCTCAAAATCATTCAGAACACAGATAGAACCTTATAATTTCAAGGTTGCGATTTGCGCACTTGTCTTAAAATGTTTAAGAAAATCAAAATAAGCAGCTTAGCTCTCAGAGCATAGTAAACATTGTAAGTGTATTTATGTACATGCACTATAATCTCATGTTATACCCGTAACACTCCATATAAAAGCCGGAAACTTTTTTTTTTGCACTAACCTATCTGAAGGGTTAATGCTGCCAACAGATGATCACTTGTAAAAAATTACACATTTTACCTCTTCCCAGCAGGGAAAACCACCAACAACCAAGAATTTGTGATTATATGCTGTCATGGCTTTTCAAACAAAAAACGTCATTATAATGGAAGTGGGTCAAAAACAGCCACGAACATAACGAAAGGGTAGTCAATTTGAACTGTAGACAAGGGTTAAAAACCTGTGCTTATTAAAATACAAAAAATAATTGATTTTTAAGAAGTGATTTTTTTTTTATTGGTGCTCATTTGTGGCTTTTTAGATGCACATGTTCATTGCACGCTACTGTGACCTGCTGAATGTGGAAATTTCGTGTGACGGCTGTGAGCGGATCGCACCGTGGCATCGCTATCGCTGTCTACAGTGTACAGACATGGACCTTTGCAAGACCTGCTTCCTCAGTGAGTCACACCATCACAGATGGCCATGACTTTAACTCTATCTACATCACAATGAAGCATTATTTCTCTTTATGTATTACATTAGACGATAAATAATTCATTTATAGCTGAAGTTCATTTCCTACACATTTTTGCTTGGGTGGAGTGTGTGTTTTTGAACAGTTCTGTTCTCCTTATTCAGGCGGTGCAAAACCCGAAGGCCACGAGGATGACCATGAGATGGTGAACATGGAGTATGCCTGTGACCACTGCCAGGGCCTCATCGTGGGCAGCAGGATCAACTGTAATGTATGTGAGGACTTCGATCTCTGCTTTGGCTGTTACAATGCCAAGAAATACCCAGACAGGTAATACACACAAAAAATGAAAACATACTTCTGGCAGACTTTGAATTTTAGAATAATCTTGTTTATTATTATTTTAAACCAGAAATACTGGGTTTGTCTTTATGCAGATATTTAGATTTACAAAATTTAAGTGCTAATGTCAACCAGTTCACTCAAATTGAGTTTAATTGTTCAACCAAGCCAAGTTAAGAAGCAACATGCCATTGTGAATGGATGCATTAGGGCTGAACACTATATCCTTAGGGCATGGATATCACAATATATGCATCTCTACAATAGTCACATCGCAGGATTAGATTAGATAAAGATATTATTATATATTTTTTTATTTATTTTTAAATAAATATATATATATCACAGCAAAACCAAATATCACAATGTCAGATTTGTCCAACATTGTGCAGCCCTAGAATGCATTGTTTATAAATACTAATATTTAAAGTTACGTCTTTGATCATCGACACTCATCCCACTGTTTAGAGCAAGCAACATTTTCAACAAAACATCTGGAAATTCTTTTTCTGGAAATCTGGAAATATTTTTAAAGTTCAAAGTAATTAAATATGTTGTGTAAATTCGAAGAAGAAGAAAAAAAGCACAGAGGTCTAAAATAATGTTCAGAGACAAAGAATTAAACAGACTAATCATTATTAAATAATAGTAAAGGAGAACAAAAATTTTGATCAATTTTAAAATATTTGTTTTGTGTGTTTATCAGGGTATTGGCAGGGTCTTATAATTCCTTAAATCTCAAAAGCTAAATTTTAGGCATTTAAAAGTCTTAAATCTACTGAAATGTTGTGTTATAGGTCTTAAATCTTTTTAACAGGTCTTAATTTTCTTTTGTTCATGTATAGCTACCCAATCTAGCCATTAACACCCATGCAATCGCCAACAATCTATTTCAGTCAAACTTTTAACTTTTTATTTTGAAATTGCATTTAATTACTTTCCTCACATTAACATTTGCTTAAAGGTTCTCCATTTATTTACTGCTGCGGCTACTGACCTGACCTACATAAAATTTTTATTAATGTAGACTGAAGTAATTTAAAGCCATATTTTGTTCTATATTTAGTAAGGGTTATAGGGTTTGTGAATGGATATATTTGGAAATGAAAAAAATTCAAGCTAAATTATTATTATTGTATTATTAAATTTTAATATTTTTGATAAATTTAGTAAAAATATTTTTTTATTGGGATATTCAAAACAAATTTTTAGCATTTAGCCCTGTATAAGTCTAAAATTGATTTTATAATGGTCTTGAAAATGTCTTAAAAAGTCTTAGATTTAACTTGGTGAAACCTGCAGAAACCTTGATATAAATAAGGACACTTGCCAAAGCATACAAAACAGATTTAGTTTGTGTCTACTATAATTTATGATGAAAATGTCTAGTAGTTTTGTTGCTTAAAAAACTCCCTAGAACAAAAGTAACTGTAAAAAGTAAACAACTCATTTACACATGATTTTGATGCTTGAAACCCCCTTTTATTAATTTATTAATAATAAACATCATGTTCATTGATTTTTTTTTTCTTTCTCTGTGTCTCCAGCCATTTACCCACCCACCGCATCACTGTATACCCAATGGTCACCATCCGCATCAGTGACCGCCACAGACTCATCCAGCCCTACATCCATAACTACTCCTGGCTTCTTTTTGCCGCTCTCGCCCTGTTCACCTCTGAGCTGATCAGCGAGAAAGCACAGGATGGAGAGTCTCTGGATGATGTCACCCTGGGTAATGCTAGTGCTCTGCAGACCCAGTGCTTCGACATCATCAAAGAGTGCCTGCTGAAGGGACAGACTGGGAAAGGTAATCAACACATTTGTATAGGAAGTCAATGAGGGCATTTACAGGAATGTGCTTAAAGAGTTAGTTCACCCAAATAATGAAAATGTGAACTGGAACTGAGCATGTGAACTGGGACATTAGGTTATTCAATAAATTGATTTTTATCACGTAAGCATCCTCAGTAATGTCGCAGTTAAAGAGATGTGCCATTATTGCGTTAAGTCCTGCATGCTGTTGTTTTCTGTAGGTTTGCGAGCCTCTGCTCTGTTGTCTCTGCTTTCTTCAAACGAATCGGCCACAGTGAGTGAGCTCTGTCCTGCGACGGCAGGTTCATCTCAGGACATCAGCAGCACAGACACCTCTTCACTACCCAGCAGCACAACAGCCATCTGCTCGCCTCCACTGCCCAGAGACAGAGTCAGTCACTGCACAAACAAACATTACTAATACATCCCTTGACTGCAGTCAGAAAAAGTGTGCTTGGCCTTAAAGGTCTATGTATAAAGATTCATAAATATCCTTCTCAAAAAATAATCTCTCTTTAGGGAGGAGGAGAAGGTGATGAGAAGAGGAGAAGAAAGCTGGTCTCTCAGGACACCTCAGACTCATCCTGTGCTAGTCAGACTCCCTCAGTGTCAAGTGAAGACACACTGTCCCCTGGAGTCAGAGGTGAGCTCTCTTATTTTTCTGTAAATGGATGGTTCACATAAAAATGAGGATGCTTTTAAAGGTGCTGTACGTAAGATTTTGACTCTTCTAAAGCATAAAAATACCATAATATATTTGGAGATATTTAAGAAACATGCTAGCTAAGTGAACATTCTTGTTTATCTGAAAAACAATGCTGAAGTCCAATATTCTGCTTTAAAAATGTGTTTTCCTTGCTGGAATGTCTGTCTTTGTTTTGGTTAGTTTAACCTGCCCACTGCCAGTTTAGCCAATTATATTCCAGCACCCGGGGTTGCCTTTGTGGGAAAACCGCTTATGTCATTCGTTCATTCATTCATTCATCATTCATTTAGAAAGGCTCTCATAGCATGTGTCCATGACTGAAATGCGACCTTCGATGGACAGTAGCAGACTCCGAAATGAGACGCAGATTCAAAGTTCCACATAAGGTTATAAATTAGCAATTGATAAAAAAATATTATGAGTGTAAACATTAGGTAAGCAGGTTACATTGTAACCCTGTATCCTAACAGCACTCTACGTGAGGAAGACGACCGGAGGAAACATGACATTAGCCCCTTTCACACATACAGACCTTTCCGGGAAATTACCACATATTATGAACATCTCGACATGCAAAAGTGTTTCTCTATATTTTTTCATTGAAGTTGTTCACAATACTGATCATCCACAGAGTTTGTAATGTAGTCAAATGTTTACAAATTCAAGCGCAGCCGTTTAAAACTCATTTGTGGTGAATGATGTCACAATTTACCGGTATTTTGGAATGGATGTGTGAACGGTCTTTTCTGGAAAAATTCCGTAACGTCCTCGCCTGTGTGAATAGCGTTATTTAAATACTGCCATTCGGAAGCACAGCATATGCACTCACTCACGAAATGATAATGTTTACAACCTTATTAATACATATTAATCCTTTTTAACAATATTAAATGTACATGCTGATATACATATTGTCAAGATCTGAGGTAAATCTGCTGCTGCTTTCAGTAGTACACGTCAAGTAAAATGGCATTTAAACTCACATTGTTTGCATTTAACACTGAACAAAGCACATAAGGTGTACCTGAGGTAAACAGCACTGTCAGTTTGTCCTGTTGATCAGCTGCAAGAAATAGAAGACACTTCTAATATATAAATTTGAGGTGTTAAAACAAAAGAGGTTAGAAGAAAACTCCTTTTAAAATGGAAAAACCATCCCATCATGTACCGTTGCTTTTATTTAGAACACGATTTAAGTCAGGCTTTAGGCTCGATCGTCAGACTCGCTCCTGTTGGTTCTTAATCTGGCTACCTGTGCTTGCGTTTGTTTTGATCCAGGAATGCAATACCTAGTTCAACAACTGGGTGTCAAACTTGCATATACAGCACCTTTAATTTATCCTCATCTAAACTGTAAGTGACTTTTCTCTTCAGTATAACATTAAAATAACATATTTAGCTGAAACTGTGGGCTTCGTTTAGTCTTAAAGGCCATTCAACCATTATTGAATCAAAATAAATCAAGGAAAAATTAGATCTTGAGGTCGTCTAATGTTGAATGGGTTTAAATGGATATAACATCCAAAAATACACTGCATGAGTCAAAATGACATTTTTCTTTTATGCCAAAAATCATTAGATTTTTAATTGTTGTTGTTGTTTGTTTAGTAATATGCATTATAATAACTTAAAAGCTT